AAAATGCTTTATCTATTGAACTCATGTACACTAAATTAACCCATGTAAAATCTCTTTCTTTTTTTTTACCCTATTTTGCAATTTTTTTCACAACAGAGATCTATTTATGACTTGGCAGGAACAGAGGGCTGGCTTACAGTCTGAGTAGAAAAGTCCTCTGGCAATGAGGAAACGAGGCTCCAAGTCGTATTTTTCATGAATGGAGAAAGCTGCTTAACTGGATTGCTTATTTTCCTTTCTTTCTATTCATGAACTCAAGTCCCACCTTCATGCCTTAAAAGGCAGTCTGTATCCTGGCAGCGAAACAAGTATCTGTTTGATGTTAGCACCCTTTTATTTCTTAAAAATCATCCCTTTTTAAAGCATGCTTTACACTGCAAATGGCTGCTGGCTGCATTAAAGTTTAGAACAAGGAGACATAGTTCTTTGTTACTCGCATTATTAGCTATATATTAGAATATAATATAAGATATATATATCCAAAATATAAAATATTTATGTGTATAAATTTGTGAAATCTGTAATACTCTATCTCTCTATAAATACTATACATATAGCGTATAGCGTATCACACTATTTCACAAATGTCGCTAATGTAATCAAGGTCACATACATTCCACATTTCAGTTGCACATTATACAACCTGCATTATTCTGACATTTCAGTTCACAAATGGAATGTAAACTTTCTCACAATTTGATAAAATGTTTCTTCATAAGATGTGTCAACCTGGAAGAGAGAGTGGGTGAGTGAGTGAGTGTGTGTATCTCCAAAAGGTCCTACGCCCAAGGACTGCATATGTCAAAAGAGACGCACTCCAGAATTTTCTTATTTCTTTTTAAATAGCTTAAAAAGTTATAATGCTTATAAGCATTCGGTCAACATTTCAATTTGATACTTTTTCTCCTGATGAAAGTTTTTTTTTTAAAACAATGTTATTATTAAAGTGAAAATTCTAAGTGAATTCAAAGTAAAATTTTAATTTTTGGCCAAAGTGAAAGCATTGCTGACTGAGAATTCTTCCAGTTTGGCTATTTTGACCTTAAAATTTAAATTAAATTGTGAATACACAAAACATTGAATTCACTTAGAATTTTCACATTAGTGAATAACCCTGTAAGTGAAACAGTAGCAGAAAAAAAGTGAAGTGGCTGTGACTCATACAGCCTCTGTGAAAACACTTTTTTACAGCAAAGTATGTTTACTTTAGAATTCCTTATATTCTGCTCTGTTTAACCCCCTAAGGGCGCGGACGTATGAGATACGCCTGACAAAAAAACGGTCCTTCAGGAATAATTTGAGCGCTGGATGCGATCATGATCGCTTCCAGCCGCTCTATGGGAATTGCACAATGCCTCGATGTCAAGGCATCGTACAATACCCCCCCTCACTGGCGCACACCCGAGTGATCGCTTCCCCCACGTGGTGCCCTGCAGTGTAGAGCAGAGCATGAGTCAGGCTTCCGATGCTCTGCCTGTACTGAGGGCATCGAAGGGTCAAGCACTCAGTAAAAGTAAATTATTATTTTTTCAAATAATTGAATAAATAAAAAAAATAAAAAAATTAACCCCTATCCACCCAAGTACTTACTGATTGCCCCGCCGGCAATCGAACTTCTTTTGAGGGGGGTCTGTTTGGGCTCAGCCCAGACAGTCCCCCCTCTGCAATTTAGGATCCCCAGGGGAGATGTGACCACAGTGCTGCCAGCAGGAGGACTGTCTGAACTGACAGGAAGTCCCCCGGGTGGTGAAAAAAGTAAAAATAAAATAAAAAAAACAAAGTTAATAAAGTAGAACAAAATACTAGGTATTTTATTATTAATATATATATTAATATAAAAATATACTTAGAGTAAAATTACACATGTATATATAATATATAATAACTATATATATTGTATATATATATATATATATATATAATAAAAATAAATTATTAATTAAAAATAAAAAACTATAAAAATAATTTTTACAAAATTATATATATATAAATATATATATATATATATTTGTGTTTGGGGCATTGCATATGAAATACGCTGGTGGAGAGGAATAACATAACAAGGAGATAGTCGGTTGAGGTGTGCCGAAACTGATGTATGCTGTAGGCCGGTAAATAAAGTGGGCCCACATAAAGGAAAGTATAGCTAATGGGAGTGGAGGGTGGGCCTGTTCGTCTAGACCAACGAAGGTAAGTAAGGGAAGGGGGGAGTCCCTTAAGTAGGTGTATAGCCCCTCCCACAACTTCAGGCCATGCCTTCCAATATATATATATATATATATATATATATATATATATATATATACACACACACACACACACACATCCTTTTCCAAATTATTATGCAAATTATATTTTTCTCATTTACCTAAATAATTGATGTAAATAACAGTCAGCATAATTCTCCTGTTATAAACTATTAAGAGTACAATTCAAATTTTACTGAACAAACCTCCTAATGATAACATAAAAACTTACAATGCACCGTTCCAAATTATTACGCACAGTAAGTTTCAAAACACTTTATAGGTTATAAAGAACTGAAAATTGTCATTTGTTGTGTTTGCAGCATATTTACTGAAATCAAAAGCTATTTCAATCAAACTTATAACAACATTTTAACTTTTTAAACATTTTAACAGGTCACATTACATTTTAACATAGGACCCCTTATTTGATAGCAGCTTCACAAGTCTTGCATCCATTGAACTTGTGAGTTTTTGGACAGTTTATGCTTAAATTTGTTTGCAAGATGTCAGAATAGCCTCCCAGAGCTGCTGTTTGGATGTAAACTGCCTCCCACCCTCATAGATCTTTTGCTTGAGGATGCTCCAAAGGTTCTCAATACGATTGAGATCAGGGGAGGATGGAGGCCACACCATGACTTTCTTTCCTTTTATCCCCATAGCAGCCATTGATGCAGAGGTATTCTTTGCAGCATGAGCTGCTCTCTTGATCCGATGCATGGATCTGGCAGAAATCTTCCTCAATGTGCCTTTATCTGCACAAACCCGTCTGTGCTCTGAATCAGCCACAAATATCTTAATAATGCGATGATCACGCTTAAGTTTTCATGAAATATCTAATGTATACCTCATCCAAGGCATTGAACTATTTCACTCTTTTCGGCAGCAGAGAGATCCTTTTTCTTCCCCATATTGCATGAAAATGGTGCTCTGCTTAATAATGTGGAACACCCTCCTTTAGTAGTTTTTCCTTAAATTGGGCTCACCTGGCAATCTAATTATCATAAGTGTCCGAGATTGTTTTCAGTGATCAAAAGAGCCCTGAGACACAATGCCATCCATGAGTAAAACTGAAAAACAAAATATTAAATCTTTGTGACACTTAAATAGAATTTGCATAATAATTTGGAACAGGGGGCAAATAGGAGCCCTGACTTACCTGGACCGGCGATCCGCAGTGTTCACAGTTGGAGGGGGACTGCCGGAGACCCCAGCAGTCCCCCTGCAGCAGTTCCGGCCACCCCGGCCCTCCAGGGCCATGTGATCACCATGATCACAACGCCGCAATAGGACTCTAGGAGCTGCCAGCAGGGGGACTGTCTGAGCGGTCTGGCAGTCCCCCAGGCTGCTAAAAAGTAAAATAAATATATATATTATATATGTATAATTTATTATAAAATACTTAAAGCATTTTATAATATATTATACATATATAATGCATATATATGATTTCATTATAAGTGTACTTTGAGATATATACACATATCTCAAGATACTCTTGTAATATCATTTATAATATATTATACATATATAGGAAATATATATATAGACACACACACACACACACACACACATATTATATACACATGTATGGTAGCCCAGGAATGTGAAATAACCCCATCATGGCATACCATTTTCAAATGTAGACAACCCAGGGTATTTAAAATATGATATGTCTAGTCTCTTGTACTAGCCACAAACACTGGCCAAAGTTAGCGTTTTTATAAATGTATTTTTTTTTTCAATTTATATATTTAATATATGTGTGTGTGTGTGTATATATATATATATATATATATATTTCTTGGCTAATCATGGCAGCATATACATATGGGTTAGCTCCTCCCCTTTCAGCCGATAGGACAGGAAAAACACCAAGGTTTTAAAAGGAGGCTCCATCCCTAAGGTCCTAATTTATTTTTTCTGTCCTACAGCTCTTAGGACATGAGCAATTTGCTCCCTTTACTACGAACAGGTATGTTTTCATTTTATCTTCATTACTTTATTTACTGTAATACACTATGCAGTTGTGCTTTTATGCTGTGATCCATTTAAGCTTTGATATCTTTAAACTAGTGCATTATACAGCTGTACCTTATTTTTAAAATTTTGGTACATTATGCTGTTGTGCTTTTTACTAGGAAACATTTAAACTGTGTGGCATTTAAAACTGTTGCATGTAACCCCACGAGTCATTGGAAGACTGCAGTACTTTTGGAGACTGCAGTGCATTTGAAAACTGTGATACATTTTAAAAACTATGATACATTTTGGAAACTGTGTTACCTTTTATACCATGAGGCCTTTAGACTGTGGTGCCTTTAAACTTTGACTTTTTGCACCTGATTGCCTTTTAAACTTCCTTGCAGGCACTTTTGTTATCTATTTTGCTTCCCCTCGGTCCCAATGATTTATTCCCGGTTCCCTAGGGGTGTTTAGGGGCCATGTAGGCTTCAGACAGAGTTCTCTCCCTGGTGTCTAAACAGCAAACACACTCGGAATAGGCCCAGACACGTGCAGTTTGTGCCTTAATGGCCCTAATACAGATGAGTTGCATTGTGGGAATACAAGTTGTGGCAGCCATCTTGGATAAGGGCAATTGCCAGAAAGTACCTAAAATAGAGGAAAAATTACAGTAAACATCCCAAACTTATTTGGTAAGTATTTGCAAGGTCTCCAGACATGGATAAGTGCTGTCTTCAGCCAGTTTTAAATCTGTTTTTTTTTCTTAATACTTTAGTTATTATTTGTCAGATGTCTGAATCTTCACCAGGATCTGGTTATGAGGAGAAAACAGTGGAAGGAAAACGGTTATGCACTGACTGCCTCCACAAGGTTCAGCATGACCTATCACTGTGCAGCCACATGACATGCGGGCAGGGCTTACAAAGTAAGTTCCAGAGGCCTTAGTGGTAAGAAAAGAGGCCAGGCTTTGCCCTGTGGAGGAAGTTATTTCCAACCCCTGAACTACACCTCCTAAGTTGCAAACTTATGGATCATAGGTGGACACAGACCTGTCCAAAATGTTACGCCTACCATTGCAGGAGGTCAGCCAGCTGTGGCTTCTGCTGTTGTTTCTACAAACATGAAATATGTGATTAAAGATCTAAAGGCTACTATGGAGAGAGATATTAAAAGCCAAGATTGAAGAGGCAGTCTGACTTCTTCACAGAAACTTCCCTAGATGTAACTAGGATATTCACTGGATCAAATGGTTTTATCTATAGCAGCTAAGAAAGCATTATGGTTATGTTTCTGGGATGATGACTCATCCTCCAAGTCTGCCCTCTGCACCATTCTATTTGAAGGGGTGGTGCTGTTTGGGAAAACTTTGGATAATTCCATTGAAAAGGCGAATGAGGGCTGCAAGATATTTGTACCTTAGGACGGAAGTTCCAAGGATCCCAGCTCCTCATAGTCTGACCAGAGAAGCTCCAGTGACCAGTATTTCTGAGGTACATGGAGCTAGTGACCCTGCAGGGAATACTCCAGAGGTAACTCATGGCAGTTGGTAAACCTGCCTTTCAAGGTTCTAATGGAGCTATTAAGCAGTTGTTTTGCTCTTCAGCAATGAACATGTCTCCTCCAGTACCAGGAGCCTAATTTTTCTGATCACATACCTGGGCTCGTCATACTCTGGAGGCTTGAGTGGTATCCATAGTCCAGATTGATATAGACTGGAGTTTTTTCTTCAGGCACAGGAGTCTCCATACCAACAGGAGTATTAAGACCAATGAATCAAATGGTAAAGCACTGAAGGAAGAAGCCTTCTGGACGAAGAGGTGATTTTTGTTTTTAGGTCCCAGAACAAGAGCAGTTCCAGGGACAAGTTATGCCTCTCTTCTGGTACTAAGAGGAAAAGCACATGGAAGCCTACACTGGACCTAAAAGGGGGCCAGTAAGAGGCTGAATGTCAGTCATCGGGATGGAGTCAATCAGATCCATATCTCAAGCAATTTGGAAGGATAATTTCCTTATCTCTATATATCTCAAGGATGCTTACTATCAGTCCAATCTGCAGAGATCTTTGGCATTAGTTCGGAAGAGAACTTCCAAGTTAGTGCCTTACCATTTGGCCTCAATGCGGCCCCAAGAATCTTTATATGTGCTTATAGTGATATTGAGAGTCCAGAACACCATCTGGTTCCATTATCTGGAGGATCTACTTCTGATAGCCTTAGACCCTCAGAAGGCAGGCACACAGAGGAATATAGTTCTTTCAGAACTCCTAAAGTTTGGCTGCTTGATGAATATCAAGAAAAGCAGTTTCACACCAGCTCAGTGGTTGACATTCCCGAGTGGAAAATTCTATGTTCTGCTTTTCCCTATCTCAGGAACAGTTCCACAGATTGTGAAGGTTTTCTCTCCCAGTTTCTTCATTTCTGCTTGGTAACAATCCTGGCTTCCACCAGCAGACTTGTCAGATGGGCCCAATGGCATCTCTGGATTCCTCACAGATCCTTCCTATCTTGGTTTAACAAGAGAAAGATTATTGGAGCAGCCACTGACTTTGTCCCCATCAGTGGAGTTACACCTTACCTGGTAGCTGAAAAGGGAGAATAGATCTCTGAGTTTCCAGTGAACTGAACCTCATTGGTCAATTATTAGCTCGAATTCCAGTTTTTATAAGATTGGTTACACAGTGTTTGGACCATGTTGCACAATATTTCCATTAATTTGTATGGAATTACGAGTCATTTTCAAGGCTCTTCTTCACTTCAGAGTCTTGCTGAAGAACGAGTGGGTCCAAATTTGCTCAAATATCAATGCAACTGTATCCTATATCTATCAAGATGGGTCTCACAGATACGTATTGATGGAATTCCAGCCCATAATGATCAGGGCACAGAAGAACAACCAAGGGCTCAGAATACAATGGCTGGTTGCTTGAGCCAAATAACTGTGGACAAGGTGGATTGGCAACCATGTCCCAACGTATCCTCGGCGTTGACGCAGATTTGTCTGATACCCTACATAGATCTCATGGCCATTTCTTGGAACTACCAGATTCAGAAGTATTTTCTACATGCTAGGACCAGAATGCTCAGGTTCAGGATACACTGACTCAAATTTCGAATTTTAGTCTGTTGTACATATTTTCCTGTTTTCAACTTTCCTTAAAAGGTAATGCAAAAGGTGACAGTGGAAGACTGTGTCGACTAATTCCTATGATGAATAAGATGATTCTGGAACCTCAAAGGGAAATTCTAGTACGTCCAGACCTATTACCAGGCCCCTTGACACACCACCTCTCTGCTGAAACTTTGTAAAGTTGGCATTTGGACCACTTTGAACTAGTTTGTCCTGCATTACATATTGGACAATGAAGCAATTAATGAGGCACAATTTGGACGTCATGTCCGTTCTCTACCTGTGCTGGAGGGTATCAGGGCACTCCTCTCATGCTGTTATATAATATGTGTGGGTACAGTAAATGAGTAAGAGGAAAATTACAGCTAAACACGAACACCGCAGAAATGTAAAAGCAGCCCTGGTCCTTAACGGTAAGAAAATTTAAAAGTGGTCTGGTCAATAAGGGGTTAAATTGAGCAGTGAACTTGCAGGAGCATGATATATACACAAAAAACTGTTTCATTAAGCTAAAGTTGTTTTGGTGCCTATAGTGCATGTTTGCTCTTTTTCCAGGAAGTGTGAAAGGAGGCTGTGTGAGTCATATCCAGGTGGAGGTATGGCTAGAGCTACATAACCAACATGATTTATCTGCTATATGGAAGAAAATTAAGTAGTGAGACTGCAGGGAAATTATTACTACACCAAAACTCCACTAAGCTAGAGTTCCAGGCTGGCTAATGACAATTCTGTGCAACGAATGTCAGTCATTGGCTGAGAGCAGTCAGCGGACAGTCTCAGCTAATGAATGTCTGCTGAGACTAGACGCGGGTGACTGGACCACCAGGGAGCATCAGAGCCTAAACAGGATTTGGGTTAGGTGCTAATCTGCTCCCCAAACTAAACCAGGCTGGGAACTCCTAACATCATAACCTCTACTGCGGGCTGTAGTGGTTATGTTGCTTGGAGCAACCATTTAATATACAACCGCCATGTTAAATAGTATGAAATATACACACAAATGTCTTTCATTTGATGTCTCCATGTATTTAAATGGTAACTATTTAGGAAGGCAGTCCCTGTTTTGGGCCCAAACCCATTGGTCCCTCTTTTCTATCCTAATATCCCTCTTTTCTAGGAGCTCCATGCTGTTGGTGTGGCTCAGTGTATAAAACATCTTGAAACCAATAATGCAATTATGCGTCTTTCAACTACAATAATTGTGTTTGTAAATCTGTCTCTGTAAATAGGATACATTGCTCTTGCTCCAGATTACATTTTAGTAGCATAAATTATTATCAGTAAGTCACCTAAAAGTTCTCAGTACAGCCCAGCCCCTGGCCACATCACCAAAAAGTGCCCCTTGTTGAGCGGTCGGTGTCCCTCTCTTTTACTCTGTTTCCCGCTCCCTCCCAAATGGTGTTGGGCTACAGTTGCAAGAATTATAGTCCAAATATAACTTAAAATAAAGTCCAGAAACATCTGGAGAATCAAAGTTGGACATTTACTTATCACTTGTAATTTTATATATGCAGTAAATTCCGGACTCAGGTAAAAAAAGACAGTAAACACAGCAATGAGGACAAAGGATAGAAAAAAATACAGACGAAGAGAGAGACGGATATAAAGAGAGAGACAAATTAAAGACGTGTGCCAAAAAAATTGCAGGATCAAAAGCCAGGTAATGAAAAATAAGTACATTAATTTGTCATGTAACAATATAAAGTTAAAATATTGAAACATGGAGTGAGTTCCACAGTCACAATCTAAAAATTAAGGTCTCTTAAAATACAGAAAAAGTCTTGACAATTTCCAGAACAAGAAATAACAGGTGGGACATTACCACAATGGGAAAACAAAATAATTACATATTCTTGGATCCTGCTTTTTTTCTGTTACACAAGTAATACAGTAGTCATGCGTTGTGGGGCATTCAAATTGTTCATGTCACATCTTTTGCATTCCTTTCAAAACATTGGAAAGCAGCTGATGCCCACATGGAGATCATCTCAAATTCTGAATGACAAAGAAATACTTAAGTTTTTTCAAATTCACTTCCGTTAAACAATGACATCAGCTCCAGCAGAGAGTTTGCTAGCTCTGCAGTTAGGATTTGGATTTTCAAGCATTCCAGTTTGCCAAAAGCGTGGTTGCTTTCTAATAACAGTGCGACAAGCGGTTTTCTTATAGCATTTTTTTTCCAATGGGAAGTGAATCGTGCAAAATCTGAGATCATCTTCCTTTGATCATGATAAGTTTCTTTTCCCCACAGGCACATCCTGATTACATATAATTTCTTGAACACCTAAGATTATATGCAAACAACCTTTCACTAGGGATAGTGAGACTCAAATTAGAAACAAAGAGTAAATACATAACATTACATTATGCCTTCAAAATATATATTTCTTGAGACAACAATTTTGTAATAAAGATTCATTTTTAGCTAACTGTATTACCATGTTTTCCAGTTCCATATGAAATGTTAGTTTTATTTTTAGAAGTTTGTTTTGTGTGATTTTATTTTTACTTTTAGCTTTAAACAACTAAGTTTTTGTCGCCCCATCAAAAACAACATCTATCTTACAGTTTCAAAATAAATTAGACTAGCTGACTTGTAAGCATATTGATATGTTTATAGAAAGTAAAGCAGAGAGTATATTTTTGTCTTTCTTAAATAAATAAAGAGTTATTTTATGTTTAAAGACAAATTGTGATAGTTTTAACTTGTGGACAGAGGCGTAACTAGAAACCACGGGGCCTTGGTGCAAAAATTGCCCTGGGCCCCCCATACTTCTACCCTCCTATATGTTGCCCCCCCACACATGCAGACACACACACATAGACACACACACATATACAGAGACACAAACATACAGATACACACATGCATACAAACACACATGCATACAGACACACACACAGACACACATACGTACATACACAGACAGACACACACACACACACACATACATGCAGACACACATACAGAGAAAAACTCATACAGACACACACACATATACAAAATATTGTAGTAATCCTCCTGTTTCCTACCTTTTAGATGCAGGAGCATGACTTCCCTGGGGTCCAGTGGTGGCTCAGCCTGATGGGAATCAGAGTTCCCACTCTGACTACCTCATTTCCTTTCTCCCGCACTGCTCCTAGTGGTTGCTGGGAGGAAATGGCTGGGGCTGTCACTTCCTCCCAGCCACTGACCTCATCATAGGGGGGTCCGGTCACGCTGTTAAAGTGCCACAGCGCTAACCAGGCCCCATAGAAATCCCCATTAATGGGTCCCTTAACATGCTGTCCTGGCGGTTATACGATGCCGCCCGAGGCCGCAACAAATGACACATCTTTCCAGGAAGGTACTGATGGCGCTCCTCCTTCCATGCAGGTAACACCTGCACTTCCTTTCAGGCAGGTATTAACTACTTTGCCTGTGCTGCCACAAAATACTGCCTTTGTGCATTTGTGGCTCGCAGGTCTAGCTCTTTGATTCTTTAACCAGGAAGTAGAGCAACTAGAAAGCAGGTCTAAAACTCTGCTACTAGAATCCTGAAAAAAAAGAGACATGACACACAGTTCCTAATGGAACTACCATACAGTACTTTATCATACCTTCCAAATCCAGCATTCTGAGAATCAGGACCGGTGGGATTGAGGTAAAGGGAGGTGAACCAATGAAGCGACCACATCACTAGCTCCACCCCAAAGAGGTAGGTTTAACCAGAAAGGGGTGGTTTAC